TGAGGAGTTGTGGTCCAAAATTGATCAAATGGTACTTAGGAGCCTAGAATGTTGTTTTGGATCAAAAATTATGAATTTTGACTGTAAATTGGCCATGGTTGACTTTTTCCCCAATACAACTGATTTTTAGGTCAACTGTCCAATTGACTGGGTAAAAATGTGATTCAAGGCTTGAAACTTGGTATGAGCAATATTAGGGGTCCAATATGGTGTATGAAAGTCACATGAAGCATTGATGGTCCAAAAATCCTTGTGCAAACTCAAACCCTAATTTCAAGTCATCAGTGCAAGGTGATGTCTTGAGCTGAGCAAACCCTAATCTTGTCTAGAGTCCGAGAAGTCTTGTGAGGAAAAATCTTGATAAATGAGAGGGAAAATTTTGGGGTACAACAGTCATGAATAGCAATGTTGTGAGATATCTTAGCATTTCTCTTGAGGGACTAAGATCATTTATAAGGCAACATTCGAAGCGTCGTCTAGGGACTATGATCTTGTATTTTTCGATCGTTTTTGCTAAGGCATATCACATGCATAACATGACCATTTTCTCAAGGCAACAAGTGGAGTTAACCCTAGAGGTGAAAAGTGTGCAAGTGTTTGTATTTCATACTTGGTTTATCTTGAATTAGGGTTTTTTAGGCATTGATTTTATCTTTCCATACAAACCCTAATTACTAGCATTTATATGAAAAGCGATAAATTGCAGAAAAGAAATGTCCTACGTTATTACATCATTTTGGGAATGGGGTATACAAATTTAAAAATTGGAATTGCAAGAAATTAAACCTAATTATCTATTACAACCATATCAAACTTGAATAATGTACAAGAATTAAAATGTATATGATGTACAAGGATAGAAATGGAAAGGGAATGGATTTTGGTTTTTTTGGATTTTTGTTAAGAAAAGATTTTGACCTAAATAATTAAATAAGGGTAATTAATTAAAATAGGAAAATTGAATTAAGTTAAAAATGAAATTAATCAAAGGTGCAATTTTAGGGTTTTTTGCATGAAAATAGTTTTTTGTTTGGCCTGGCTCAATAATCATTTAATTAGAGAACTAAAAATAAATAAAAATGGGTTGCATTGCTGAAGTAAAATGGGGGCCAGATAAATAAAAATGTCAAGGCCCAGCCAATGGAAACCCAGGCGTGCTTCTGGCAAATAGAAAAAAAAGAAATGAAAAAAATGTGAAAATTTGCAAAAGGTCTCGTTGGGGCTCGAACCCAGGACCTTCTACATGGAAAGACTTTAGCGCGCGCTATTTGTACCACTGGGGTGGTCTATTTCATCCGTTCATAAGATAACTTCGATTAGATATAAAATGAACTCGTCTATGAATGTTTGAACATGGCTTCATCTTCTTCCTTCGCGCGCGCATGGATGTATATCACCATTGTTAAGCTTCTAAAAGCTTCATTTCTCAGCCAAATCAAAAAGTGTAAACATCAAACCTGCCTAAAATTTGAATATGAATCCAACCACATAATTTTCAATAGCTATGGATCAAAGGTTAGCATGAATTTTGTTCAGTACTAAAACTAAAACCTAACTGATCAGATATGAAATTTCTAAAGACACAAGCAATGAAAATCAAAACTAAGAGCATGGTCAGCTTCCTAGAGATGATATCTACATCTTTTCTTTTATTTGTATATGCTGAAAATGCTTGTATCAAGATATCACAGCTAAGAAATATTACCTCTTGAAGTGCAATTCGAATGACCTTTATATGACTTCCAGAAATGACTTGATGATGGATTAAGCTTTCAGGGACCTTCCTTGAGCTAGTGGGATCACTACTTTGCTTTAAAAGTCACTGAATCGAAAGTCTGGTATATGGAAGCTGGGAATGAATCGAAAGGATCACTACCTTTCTTGAGAGGTTTTTTGAGGGATTTAGGAGTGTTATAAGGCTGGTATATGGAAGCTGGGAGTGAATCGAAAGGATCACTAACGCACGAAAGGATTTGAGATTTTTGTGTGTAAAGTCAGGATGTGCCAAGTTTTGTGCTTGTGTGTAGGTTCTGAGTTTTTGAGAGTTTGGGACTGTTTGAGAATTTTTCAACACACAAGAATCTGGCCCCTTTAACTTGCAAGTGGCCTCTCTATTTATAGAGAAAAGGTTTGGGAAGTTGAAGTAACCAGATTTGTAAGATAACAAATTATGGTTTGGTTGGAATGCAAATATCAAGTTATGTCAAGTTTTCCATGATCCCAAGATGAAGTACCAAAGTTGTTGGTATAAAGGGGCTACTTTCCATTATTTATGGTGGAGTATAATCAGAAGTAAGCAAGGTATGGGCTCAAGACAAATTTTGTACCAAAAAGCTTGCTTTATGGAAAGATCTTTTGGACAATGGCTTAATAACTTGGGTAATAGCTTAATTCATTGTATAAACAATTAATTATGGAGTGAAACACAAGCATTGAGGCCTGCAAAGCAAGATCATGTAGCATGGCCTATGGATTTGATCAATGTTCTTCAAAATTTTGTCTTTGACTTGATTCCTTCTACAAAGATCTTGAATCTCTGTAGAACTTTGATCTTTTTCTTTACTCTGGTCGAATACTCCGTCCTTTCATTTTTATCACATAGATCCATAACTTTCGACCAAATTCATCAACAGATAAAACAAAATTTGTTTCCACCAATTGTGTGTTCTTCGAATGGATCACACAACCTTCAACCAAACTTATCAACAGACAAAAAAATATTTGTTTCCACCAATTGTGTGTTCTTCGAATGGACCACATTCATCTGAATGTACCGCTTACTTCATCCTTTCATTTTGATCACATAGATCCATAATCTTCGACCAAACTCATCAACAGACAAAACAATATTTGTTTCCACCAATTGTGTGTTCTTCGAATGGACCATTTACAACCTTTAACCAAACTCATCAACAGACAAAACAAAATTTGTTTCCACCAATTGTGTGTTCTTCGAATGGACCATATTCATCTGAATGTACCACTTTGAGTATGCAAGATGATCTCATTGGCATAGTCAAAATGAAAGAATTTCTGAATTACTTTCCTACCAGTAACCATCAGTTGATTAAGTGGTCGAAAGTTCAAATGTCCAAACCTCAAATTGTAATTCATAGTGTAGAAACTATGTGTGTCGAAGGGTTTAGTATGTGGATCGAAGCAGGTTTAGAGGTGGATCGAAACAGGTTTAAAGGTGGATCGAAGCAGGTTTCTCAAAGGAAACCATTGCCCAATCGAAGCTTGTGGATCGAAGCAAGCATGAAGATAGACTTGTAATTCGTAGTGTCGAAACTATGTGTGTCAAAGAGTTTTGTATGTGGATTGAAGCAGGTTTGGAGGTGGATCGAAGCAGGTTGCTCGAAGGAAACCATTGCCCAATCAAAGCTTGTGGATTGAAGCAAGCTTGCCCTTCTTCGATTTGTCAAAATCTGCCCACCACTCCTTTTCGATCAGCCATGTGGTTCGAACAGCCTTAACCAGATTTTAAATTCGAACTGTTATCTGCAGCTGCATACCTTTTTTTATCTGCTTTTCCCTTTTGACAATTTCTTCTTCCTCCTTTCGAGGATTCAGAAGTTCCATCTTCGATCTGATGTTTGAGAGCCCAATATGATCCATGAAAACTATATGGAGCATTAAAAGTCCAATTGTACTTGTTCAAACCCAAATCTTAATTTGAGTCATCGGTGTTGAGGAAGTGTCTTGAGCTGATCAAACCTTATGCAATTTTGAGCAATGGAGATCTTGTGAGAGAATTCTTGAGAAATTGAGAGGGCAAATTTTGGGGTGCAACACTATGCAAGTTGAGAGTCTTGGATGTAAGAGATATGTTTTTGTCTATGTTGATGACTACTCCAAATACACCTGATTGAGTTTATTTGTAAAAAGTCTGACACTTTCATTGTTTTAAAACTCTTTGTTATCCTCTGCAACGTGAAAAAGGAGAAGAGATTGGTGATAGCATTCACATTCGAAGCGATCATGCCAGAGAAATTAAGAACTTCGGCATCTCTTCTTTCTGCATTGTTGGAGGGATTTTCTATGAGTTCTCTATCGCCATCACACCTCACGAGAATGAGATTGTCGAAAGAAATAATCACTCATTAACAACAAATGGAAAGAAATAATCCATGTCAAATATCTTTCATACCTCTTTTGAGTAGAAGCAATGAATATTGCGTGTCATATTCACAATTGAATAACCATTCGATCAAATATCGATGTCATTTAGTATGAAAGGATAAGTTTAAAAGAAGGTAAAACAATTTTTGTTGAAAGTTTTCTTTCAAAAAAATGTTTTACCATCGGTCCTATGTGAAAATCATCGACTAAAAATAATAGAAAATGTCAAAACCACCTCAATTAAAAAGAGAAAATGTTACTTTAATATCTATTTTTTTATAAATAGAAATTCGAAATGTCAATTAGACAAAAAAAATTAAATTTTAACTGTTTATTTATCTAATATTTAAATAGAAAGAAGTTAAAACCCCAATTAAACTTAAAAGAAATGAAGAGAAGAGAAGTTAAAACCCCAATTAGACTTAAAAGAATTAAACCCTTTTTCCTAAGGCTTAAAAGAATAAATTTCGGTGTTCTTGAAAAAATTTAACATACTTTTCTTAAGTCATTATGATGTATAAACCACCTTATCAAGAATCTTATCAAGAGAATTTTCTGAAGAGCTTTTGCCCCTATTGCAACCTTCCGGAGAGCAAAAAAACTTCATTTGCATGTCCTTTCAAGCACTAAACTCTCAACTTAGACCAACCAAATTTCATAAATATTTAATTTGCGCAACCTTCCAAAATATTTTGAAACTTATCTCACAATATGTTCAATAAGAATATAATAAATAAAATATTCCAAAATCATCAACTCACGGTCTGAGGTAAATATTCCCTACTAGAGAATATATTACTTTATAAAAGAATACTATTTAGTATTGTATATATAAAGAAAAGAAAACATGAATAAGAGCATATAGCCATTCAACTGAAATGGGGGCTTCTCTATCAGAGCTAGAGCAACAACAACAACAACCAGAACAACAGCCACAAACACATCATCATTCACAGCCACAGCCACAACAAAATCATCACCAACCAAATGAACCAACCAACAAGGAAGAATTACGATCACCTTCCAGAAGGGAAAAATTGTTGTTGTCTCCTCAACAAAACGTAGAACCCTTCAGAAAGGTGGTACAAAATGGCCCAGTTGCGAAAGCCAAATATGAAAGCCAATCAGGTTCTAAACCTCCGATCAAACAACTAAGTTTCCCACATAAGTATGAGAATATATTGATGGATGCAGACTCATCAGTTGATAAATCTTCCAGGGAAAAGATGTTTGATCAACTACATGCTGGTGTGTTCTTACATCACAAAACTAAGGTAAGTTTCAAAATGAACGTTAATGAAATTATTATTTTATGTATTCAACAAATGATTATGTTGTTTTGTAGAAATATTGGGTTGAAAAGAAGTTCAACGCCAACTGTTTTATGTTGTATGCAAGAGCACTATCAATCACTTGGGCAGAGAATCCAATTTACTGGGAATGGAAACAGCAAAAAGATGCAAGGTACAACACATTGTAGCATATAATATCACATAATTTTCAGTCCTGATTAAAGAAAAATGCGTTTTGTAGTGACGGTGTGACTGACGTGGCTGAACTGATGAGAGTTTGCTGGCTAGAAGTGCATGGAAAATTTGACACTAGAAAGCTTTCGCCGGGAATTTTATATCAAGTTTCATTTTGTGTAAAGTTGATAGAACCAGCTCAGGGTTGGGAACTCCCGGTAAATGTAAGACTTGTTCTTCCAGGAGGAAAGAAGCAGCAATACAAGGTGAATTTAATGGAGATTTTAAGGGGAAGGTGGATAGAGGTTCCAGTTGGTGAGTTTGTAGTATCTGAGAAAGATGCTGGTGAGATGGAGATATCTATGTTTGAATATGAAGGTGGTATGTGGAAGCAGGGGCTTGTTATCAAAGGGATTGCAATCAAACCAAAGGAATGACGAATATATATTTATGTAATGTGCCAAGAAAGCTTGTTTTCTTGTATAATAAATAAAGCAAATAAATCACATGAATAGTCCTTTGGAAAGTTCATAATATTATGGATACTATATAATACTGCTGTATCACCATCTATTTTTAATGAAATTTATCCTAGTTAAATTTTATGATCATTTCAACATACGTTTAAACGCATACATGACTGGTATAGTGCTGCAAATCATCAGCATCAACTCCCTTCCATGATCATTATCAAGAGATTGAATTAGGTTATAAGATAGTTCAAGTTACAGAGCCTCATTTTCCTTCCAGGTCCAATAGTTAATCCATAGGACAACAAAAAATTAAAAACATAAAAGATATTAATAGTAAAAGTTGAGGCAAATAAATATAATTTTTCCATTGAGCTTTGTACATAGGCTGATACAAATATTAATAGCATGCCACTCTTCACAAAGTTGGATAAGAATGTCAAGTGTTATTATTTTATCACAGCTACTGACATGGACAAATTATACAGCATAGAACATTGAGGAATATGGTGGCAGCATCATATGAATGTTCTTATATATACAGAGATGTCGGCCACAAACAAATATACATCAAGTATTCCCACCATGTTCCGTGCACTTCAACAGAATGATTCATGAGGCATCAATTGAAACAGCTAGTGCATTCAGTTCAATGTGCTGTTTACCGTCATTGCCAGGGTGAACAAAGACAGTTGCATGAGCCTCAGAATGCGATTTATTGGCTCCTTCTTGAGAAACTGATATTGAGCCCAAGGACATTTCGTCACCAGTATTGCTTTGACCATCTTGGTCATTGGATATGATTTCCCATTCCTCTTTAAGGGATGTTACTACTATACCCTTTTCTGTATGCCTCTCTATTTCAAAAGCAGTGGGTAGAATCACATAATCATTGACAGGATTGTAAAAGGGATCAGGATCTCCTGCCCTCAGCCAGTGTTTGAGAATCCTGAATAGATGAGGCTCACAAAGGATACCTCGATGCTCCCCTGGTATTCCAACCCTTTCTTCCGCAATGAAGCCGTCAGCCTGCATACAATGCCAAAAGACAAAGCATTATTAAAACAAGCAGCAATGTATGATAAAGGTGGATGTACTAGAAGTAAATGGACAGAAAAAATTGTAGAGGTGGAAGGTTGCCTAAGAGGAATTAATTAGCATTTGAAACTGTCTTTCATTTTAGCATATGCTGTAATTCTTTTATAAAAGAGTACAACTGTAGAACCTACACCAGGAATGTGACCCCATGACCAGAGAGTAGTGTCTCTTCAAATAACAAATTTGAATCCCCACTTTATTAAATCCTCAAACCAATTGCATAAAGATAAGAAGAGGAGAGTTAACAAACCTTAGCTGACTCTACTGGAACTGTTCCATCACCATCAACACACACAAATCTGGGCTGAATATTATTATAAAATAAAGTCAGACTTTGTAGACTAAGGAAATGAAATGCTTGGGGAGTAGTTTACATAGATGTAACACAACACATAATAAAGTAAAATCTGCACATATACCAAATAGAAGAAGATAAAACAAAGGAATAGATGCGAGTTGCAATAGTAATATATTCAAGTTGCGGCAAGAGAAGAGGTTGCTGCATTCTAAATTCAAGATAATGTTCTGAAGGTTTAAAAGCTATTAAAATTTTCTCATTGCATTAATATACCACAGCTTTTTTAACTAATTAAAAAAAATTCTAAAATAAGGACCAGATCCCAGATGCAAATTGGCCAGACTTTTCCAAAGGAAGTATGGATAAAAAGTTGTATTGCAAATTATGGGAATCAATAACATGCCCACTGAACCATATGGTTTTGGCCACCCTTTGATAGGTAAGACACACCAATGAATATAAAAGTATATTTGGAAATTGAAACAATTACAAATGTACCTGTAAATAACGTAACTCGTGCAGATCTGAAACAGGCTTGTCTGCATTTCCATAGCTGCAGAATAGTTGTCATGTAAAGCGAGGGTTACATATATTAAACGGAATACCAAATACCTACGAGAATGTACTAGACAAATCCAAATACAATTAATACGCATTCTTAGGGCAACAGTGATATGACCCAATGAATTGATAGAGACATTACCAAATACTATGAGGGGTCTGAAGATTGGTCCCATAAATATTGTAAAATTTAACACCCTGCGGAAGTTTGGCAGAAGATAGAATCTCCCGTGTTTTGTTTGCCCATTCCAAAATCTCTAAGTTGAAGGGCAGAGGCAATTCCTCGCCATCATAATTAAGCTGGACATCAAACCCAATCTAAATTAAGGTGCATACAAGTAAATATCCTAGACAACTATGTCTTGGAAGAGCAACATATCTATTCTCAAACATATAATTGTATTTACACAGAGTGTTGTCAAATAGCAGTTATAGTGTAGTGGAATTTGAACAAAATTATTTTGTAACACATTATTTACCCACGCATATTTACTAAATTCAACCAAACAGCAAGCTGAGCAAGGTAAAGCTTGTAAGTTGTAACTCACTTTGTTGTTTAAAAGAGCTTGCTTGAAAATCTCGACACTATCACATGGCGGATATGACTCCAGAATAACATGAGATTTCCCATCCGAATGAAGTCTCTCACGCCACAATTCCAGAACAGGAATGTGTTGCCAATGAAAATTAGGACAGGCCATCAGTTCATATATCGATGGACATTCAATCAGCTGTGACATGGAACGGCTTTCAATAAGCAAATTTGAAAACCAAGGCATCTAAATACCAAAAAAATGCAAAATGTACTATAAATTCATACCAAAATGCATACAACAATAACCAAGTCATATCCCACTAAGTGGAACATACTAAAACGCATACAACAACAACCAATCCTTCTCCCACTAAGTGGGGTCAGCTACATGGATCAACTTTCGCCATAATATTCTATTCAGGAGCATGATTCTATCTAAATCATTAATCTCGAGATCTTTCTTAATAACTTCTCTTATAGTCTTTCTAGGTCTTCCTCTTCCTCTAGTTGTTTGACTTCTCTCCATTTAATCTACTCTCCTTACCACAAAATCTACAAGTCTTATCTCCTTACCACAAAATCTACAAGTCTTATCTCCTTACCACAATGCCTACATTAAAAGGAAATCTACATGCAAGATTATGCTTACACAATCTTGTGCATAGGAAAGAAGAAAAACATTATAACGGAGAACACTTCATTATGTTTAAACAATCATGTGCATAGGAAACAAGAAAAACACTATAACAGAGAACACTAATAATAGGGATTGGTTGTACTAATAATTAAAGTCAAAACACAAATTGAGAAGGCCAAAATGATTTATCTGTACCAACTGGTGCATGCTCCATTTGGAAATAAAAAAGTTTTGCTCCCATCCTTCCACAAATGACATTCCATTTAAAAAGGTAGAATTGGCACATCCAGGTGCACCTGCAACAACGTACAGCTGTGACATGATGGTAAAAAAATAGATTTAAGAACCCTCTATCTAGCTGCAAGAACACAGATGATATAAAAACCAATACATGAAAGGCTATAAAATCAGAGAGAATCTGAAGGGTTTCAAAACAGAAATTATGAGAAAAAGAATTGAGCTAATATGAACAGTTTCCATCAAAAGGCATAATGGTAACAGCATCACAACTATCACTTTCAGATTCTGTGTTTGCTTAATCTCTTTCACCAAGACAAGCACAAACACCATAAATAAACTATATCTCCTTTTCTTTATTATTTTTCCTCCAATATTTCGACAACCCTCTTTTTGATGCTATTTTTTGTTTATCAACTATTTACTCACTACTGCATGCAGATGACACTGCCCTCTCTAATAAGATAAAGGGAAACAAATTTCCAACAGTGCCAGCTTTACAGATTGCATTGAAGTGCTAGAAGAATCATATTCGTTAAATATCCTTAATGTATATTTCTGATCTTCTGAGTATATGCAGAATAGAATATTACTTACCCTGGAACGGCGCAGTAATTGCAATCCAATTCTTAACATATTTCTCAAAAATCTGCAAACGACAGCAAAATTGCGGACATTACATCTCAGCAGTGAAATAATTCCAAAGTTTTGAAGGATATAAATGAAGAGGTTAAAGAAAACTACAAAATAAAGTAAAACTGATTTAGGAAGCTTAATATATGTATTACATCACTATGCAGGGACAAGAAACATTTCACCAAAAGACCACCCATAGAATGACTTATGAGGTTTATCTTTTTCCCTCCGGCAGCATTATAAATTGATTCCAACTTCGTAGCAAGCCGATCCATTGTTTCCTGCAACCTAAATGAAAATAATCAGGATTGTTACAGACCTTATCTTTAGGATTGTAGGAAATCATATCACTGGGAAATCTAACAACAAAACCAAAAAAAAATTTGGAGATAACAATTCAGATTAAATTATCTGCACAGTTGTAGTCTACTTTAGGCTATGCTTGTTTGACAGATAACAACTTCCTGAGAAAACCGCTGCTTTTGTAAAAATAACCACAAATACAAATACAGGGTACAAATATTATTAACAATGAAGTGCCTCTTTAGATTGACTTATTCCTATCTACTGACATAATCACGTCTGAGACGGTTTGACAGAACTTATGAAAACAGCTTATGACTTCATAAGTTGTTTTCAGCTTATTTTCATAAGCACTGCAAGATAGCTAATGAAAATAGTGTATAGCTTATACAAAAACAATTCACATGTACTTTATCTTTTGGTATAGAAATGGCTTATACATAAGCGTTTGTCATGCTGTAAGCTACAAATTTAACTATTTATCCAAACAGGGTCATAGTCTATTATCATAATGAGATAGAACCTATTTTTATCTTGCATAAAGACGAAATGAAGTAATCTCATAAAACGTAAAGATGCAAAGAGTGGAGTGTCCAAAATAAAACTATGCTAAATTAATTTAGGTAAGTAATGACTCATGAGAAGGGAATTGACTCATTTTCCATGTTTGATGACTTGATCAAATCACTATCATTAAACCATTCATGTTCCTGTTCGTGTTCCAGTTTAGGATTAGTTAACTACCTATTGCTTTGTCGAAAATCATATCCAAAGCCAAAAAGTGACTTCCCCTCTTGATACCCCCATTTCTGCATTTGAACAATCATGTCATGGAAATAATACACAGCCTCACTTCCAACTACCTGAATCACAAAATGAACACATGATTACAAATTTACAACAATCAATTCCTCAGCTACCAGCAATGCAGCTCACACAACAACTCAGTTCAAAACAACATACCAAATCAGGATCTAAAACATCAATCGCATGGAGTCCATGCCTATCTTCAGGAACCACAATCGTCGATTTCGGATCCATCGTTACAGTTTTACCACTAGAAGGATCATAACGTGACCAAAGCTTAGTTTTCAGCTTATACTCAGCAGACAGAAACCGAACCCAAACACGTTCCTGGCTACCGTCGGTATTAACAGCATTAAGAATTGATCCACCAACGCCGGGTACCAATAAAACAGGATCGAGATTAGGGTTGATGTAGGTTTGGGATTGGGGCTTCTTCAAGAGACGAAGCCATAGTTCAATGGATCGAACGACGTCCTCCAACAACATCGTCATCGACAAATGGAAACCCTAATGAGAATGATCGGTTGATTGAATTGGGATTAGGGTTTGAATTTGGGAAACGTGTTGTTGAATACGTACGACAGCGATGAAGAAGGAAGGGAAGAAATGGAAATGTAGGTATGGATAAGTGTTGATGTGGATGATGGCTAATTGTGTCGCTTTTTCTACGTGGATTTCGCTCTTCTAATAAATACCTGTTACTTCCGAATTACGTATGGATTTTTTCTAAAATACTCTTCCTATATTATTGGAGTATAGTTAAAAAAATTAAATTTCTAAACAAATTAATATTAAATATAATTACTTCGTTGAATAAATGTAGCCAAAATATAAAATTATATGATTCGTCTAATCCCTTAAATTTCTCGAAAAAATATATATTTAATTAATGTTTTATTTTATGTATATTTTAATGTGAAGATTTTTTGATATAATTAAGAATGTTCAAATTCAAATCAATTTAAATAAAAATCGTAAATCAATTCAAAAAAATCAAAAACTATAAAAAATTAAATATCATTAAATGTGTCTGGATGTTATTTTATAAAAACTGCACGATTCGAATTGAATATCAGATTAATTTTTTAAAATTGATCTAAACCAAATTAAGCTACAAATACATATTTTATACTTATTTATTTTTTATTAAAAAGATACGTTGTGTTAACGTATTATTCAAGTATACTTATTTTCATAATACTATTTCTTAGTTTAGTTAAATCTAACTATTTTTATTATTCTTATTTTGTAATATTAATTTTTAATATACTTTTATATATTATATTAAATTTATTATTTATTAACATTTTATAATTTTAATAAAAAATAAAATTTGTAATTTGGATATCAAAAAATTGATCTAAAATAAATCGCATGAAATTGAATCGGATCGGATGAGATGTTTTTAATTAATTATTTAAAATTGAATCAAACTGCAAATAAATTTATCTTTGGATCGAATGAATTTTTACCTCTAAATCAATCTAAATCAAACCGTGAACACCTTACATACACGTGAGTCAAAAAATTGTATGACTAATTTTGCATTGTCTATCATATCTTACTTCATGGAAATTTAAATTTCTAAGTTATAAATTCATGAAGACATGGCCATGAAACTAAAGCACTTAGTAAATTCTGAGCATTTTCAAGATGGAATTTGGTACAAACTTCTGGCCCAGTTTTCACGTAGGTACAATCATAGTTTACAAAGATGATTCAAAGAGGGGTTACAAAGTATGTTACAAGCTTTCTGAAAAGTCTGAGAACTCCTTTCAGATTACGTTGGAGTAGAGAGAACCAAAGATCAGAAGTTGGACATTTGTTCTAAGTTACGTTTACGCTGAACTTCTGATCTAGTTTCAAGCTATGATGCATCATCTCATGTTGCATGCCTTCTTGCTTGTTAAATCTCATCATCATTTAATGCTTACACCAAATTTTGAGTCTTTATCCAAAAGATCTTCCCACGTGTGGCATAGAAGTACCAATGTTGTCCTTGAAAAGTAAATTTTTGTACAAAGTTTATTCTGAGCCCATACTTTACTTTATTTCTGAGTGTACTTTCCCACAAATCCTGCCTTCAAACTCATAATAGGTGTGTTTAAAGCTGCTAACCACCCTACCTTGCCTTGAAACATGCTTGTCTAAACTTGCTTCAAAAACAAGTCAACGAGCCATAACATATGATGGTTGTACTCTTGACTTCTCCAAGTTTCTAAATCATTTGCCTATAAATTAAACTTCATTTGCAAACATCAAAGGGGGGAGATTAAGGAAAAAAGTCCTGAAACCTTGCTGAAAATTCCCAAGAACATGAAACTGCAGCAAACACCAAAACCTGTTAGTTTCTGATTTTTGCAACCAAACTCTAATTCTCTTGTGCGTTTCTTGGCCAAATCATCCATACAGTTTTTGGTATACACGTAGAAGCTTTCCCAACTTCTATTTTCCAACTGTAATACAATCTTCACCACTCTCCTCTCAAAAAATCTGAATTTTCCATCATGGCTACTCCAGAATATTTCAACCATTCATAGCTCAAGTTAAGGTTTGCTTTAGCTTTCTGAGAACTTGAAGAATCTGACCAGAACATCACAGCAATCTGAACCAGGCTCTAACTCACAGAACAATCTCTAGTTGCAAAGTAAGTTTTTTCTGACTCTCATCTCATTACTTAGACATTGTTAGGCTTGCAATTTCAAAGACATAATGTAGATATCATGGCTCTGAATCTGTACATATTTATAAATTTCATTTATGTGGCCTAAGTAGAGAGAATTTCATATCATAACTACTTGAGGAAATTAGGGTTCAGAATTAGGATTAGCAAAATTCATGCTTGCTTCTGATTTACAGTTTTAATGCTTTGTATTTCTGAAAATATGATGAAATTGTCATAACTGCTATGTTTGCATTTTTCCATTTTTGTTGAGAAATGACTAAGTTGCAGATACCCTGGTTGGCGTGTAGAAGGAGATGAAGTTCATCATCAGAACTTATTTTGTGATACATGTTTATGTTTTTGCTTCTAATACCGGATGTACAGCCACCCCAGTGGTAGAAAGCGTACACATAAGACATTAGTGTTAAGGGTCCTGGGTTCTAGCCCCAGAAGCATCTTTTTATGTTTATTTCTTGACATTTTTACCCCATTATTTGTCAAACAATATTTCTAGACCAGAACTTCTAGATAAACCCCTTCATTTGTGTGTCAAAACAGTACTCTCGGACCAGAACTTCTAGATATTCTCACCCAACATCATTGACACCTCACTTGCCCATTATCAGAACTTCTAAACTCTCTCAACAACCAGAACTTCTAACCTTCCAGTAACACTAGAACTTTTAGGTTCGCAGTTGCATCAGAACTTCTAGACTCTCTCAGCAATCAGAACTTCTAGGCTTTCCTTTGTTCCCAGCAACCCCAAAACTTCAGTGCGTCTGGATCAGAACTTTTGGCTTTCCTCATTTCTGCTAACATTTTCTTTCTGATTTACAGTTCATTTTGAGTCAGAACTTCTGCTCTCTCTTCTTTCAGCGCGTTGACTCTAACTCTTATTCTCTTATTATTTTTATCATCACTTTTATTTTCATTAATAAAAAACACCAAAAAATACTTTATATTCACATGCTTTATTTTATTTCTTTTAAAACAAAAAGACTAAATATATTTTCTTAAGCAAGTTTATTTCTTCTCTTAACAAAAACAAAACAAGTCTATTTTACATTTCTTGTATATTATTTCAATATGGTTGTAATAGATAATTAGGACTTTAATTTCTTACAATCCTCATTTGAAAATTTGTACACCCCATTCCCTAAATGATTGTAATAGCGTAGAATATTTACTTTCTACAATTTATCACTTTCATATAAATGCTAGTAATTAGGGTTTGTATGGAAAGATAAAATCAATGCTTAGAAAGACCTAATGCAAGATAAATCAAGCATGAAATACAAACACTTGCACACTTTCACCTCTAAGGTTAACTCCACTTGTTGCCTTATGAAAAATAATCATGTTATGCATGTGAGACGTCTTAGCAAAAACAATCGAAAAATACAAGATCATAGTCCCTCGATGACGCTTCGAATATTGTCTTAAAAATGATCTTAGTCCCTCAAGAGAAATGTTAATATATCCCACAATATTGCTATCATGACTATACGATGACCCACGCCCGTCCCTTCACATCCAATGATGGGGCTTCTTACCAAAACAATGGTAATATAGCAACATCTAAAGGAAGAGGAAAAGAATATTTAAGACCTTTTGAGTAGGTAGATTTCTCCTAGTTGCTCACTTGCTCACAACAAAAACACTTCATAAACCAACACTTTCATTTCGAAACATTTTCAAAAAGGCAAACACTTTGTATGCGTTTTTATAGAGACGAGAACCATTACAAAGACACCTTTTAAAAATTACTTTCAAAATAAACACTTCTTTGAACTATTTTCCGAACAACACTTTGTACGCTTTCTTATAGAGACGAGAACCATTACAAAGACATTTTCAAAATACTTTCAAAAACCACACCACAAGCACATTTTCAAACAAAAGCAATGATCTAAAAAGCAACTAAGAGCCCATAGATAACTATGGATGAAAAGGATGCTAACATCTTCCCTTTCCATAATCTACCCCCCGAACTCAAGAAAATAATCTCAAAGGTCTTTCCTATTCTTTTCACCCTTTCCTTTATTGGATAAAAGAAAAGTCGATGGTGACTCTTGCTATCCGCACAATTGCAATCAAACGCAAAACATCCCAAGTCAGTTCTCCCACCGTATTACAGTATGAAAATTCATGTCAATTCCTATGATAAAGGTGTGTGGGAAGCCATTTAAAATGGTCCAACGCCAGTACATATGAGGTTAAAGGTGTTGTCACACCAAAGCCGAAAGCACTATGGAATATGGAAGATAATAAGAAGAGGGCACATGATTAGAAAGCGAAAAACATTATCATATCGGCTCTTGGTGTTGATGAGTTTTATTGTGTTTCTCATTGTGAGACCACTAAGGCTATGTGGGATAATCTACAAGTTACCTATGATGGAACTAATGAGGTCAAACAATCTATAATTAATACACTTAATCAAGAGTTTAAACTCTTTCGCATAAAGCATGATGAACCATTACTCAAATGCAAAAGGGTTTCTCGCATCTTATTAATCGTTTAAACTTACTAGGTAATCCTATTTCCAATTCTATTTCTACTAACAAGGTTTTGTTATGTCTTACTAGGAATTGGCAACCAATGGTCACGGCGATCAAGGAAGCCAATAATCTTGAAACACTTGATCTCACCACTTTGTTTGGAAAGTTGGAAAAACACGAGCAAGAACTCACTTCCATGGATAAACATGAAAAGAAGCTTGAGGAAAAGAAGAAAAATGAGAAAGACATTGATAATAAGGAAGTAACAAAGTCCAAAGCTCTTAGGGCTTCAAGTTCAAGATCTTCAAAGGATGAACACTCAGATG